AATAGATATAAGAGTAAATCTATGAAAATTTACACTTTTATTTATTGTTAGATCTACTCGGATCTATTATATTAGATCACCTCAGATCTGTTCAGATCTGCTCGAATCTAACTAAATCTGTGGAGTTTTAATTGTAGTAGATCTGAGTGGATCTAAAAAAAGTAGATTTAATAATATATAAAAGTGTGTAAATTTAATAGATCTCTGCTTATATTTATTTGGATCTACTTTATATTTATTTAGATCTATACTTTATATCTACTTAGATTTAATTTGGACCTAATTAGATTAATTTTTCCATTTTTTTTTTTATCTCGTTAAATTTAAGTCAGATCTAATCCATTTTTTCCCGGGTATTTAATTGAGAGTAACTAGTGCACGTGAACCCGCCCCCGTCCAAAGCGCGGTTCCAATTACAATCGGTCCGAAACGCGATGCAATTTCGTGGAAAAATAAAAGATATTTATGGGCGAGCTATTAAAATCAGCATTTAATAGAAATTATATTGCGATATATAAGAGAAGGTCGCGCGCGCGCGCGCGGCTTCGGGGTCTCGCATGACCTTTCGGGAAGTTAACGGAGTTTTCATTAGAAGCATTTTGTTTTACGCTCAAGTACGACTTCGAGATAATTTTCTTTTTTTGCAAAATTGTCTTAGTTTAAAAAACTCAAAGATCGCAATCTTGTTGCAAATTTCGCACATAAAAGTGACCCGCGAAGTTTAATACATATATATATAATTTCACTTTTTTTGTCGTACGTGGATGTGTACGTCTTTAAAACTTTCTCATAATAAAGAAAAATAATATAGAAATATATGTAGATAATGTAACGTATAAAAAAAAGATATACGCACGAAAGTTAAGTTATTTTTTTAGAAAAAACACTTGCTTTCAAGTCGGATTCGTATATATATCTCTCTATCGGATAGTCACACCGCCGTTATTGCGATAACGATTATTCTCGACGTCTCGTCATTTATGCAAGATGGTACGATGTGGTCGCATATCGAAGACAAGATTTGCATAAAACCCGAGACACGTGATAAGCGCACATATGTGGGACGAGAATTCCATAGGGTAGTTGTAAGATATACTTAAAAGAGATAGAAAGAGAGAGAGAGAGAGAAAGAGAGAAAGCTCCATTTTAGAAATAGGTCAAAGGAAAGCTCATCGTATTTGTTTTATACGAAGAAGGATAACTGCGACTTTTCAATGTTGCAACCCCCGGGAAAGAAGCGAAATAGAGAGAAACAACACAAGAAATATATTCTGCACACAATTACAGCGGTGCGTTCAATTTTTTTCACGCGACACAATTTTTTAATTTGTGTAATTGAAAAACTTTCAGAGGAATGCTATAGCTTGATACATATCGCTGTAATCGCTTCTCTAAAATGTTTATCAAGTTCGAAGCTAAAAAGAATGACATTAGATCACACATGTTTTTTTTTTTTTTTAATCCCTTGATTGTATCTTCGCTATATAAATTCGCATCAACTCGACAAATCGCAATGATAATCCTTCAAAAGCACACGTTTAATTATCAGTCGCGTCTGTTTGTCGTATTCTTTTTTTTTTCTTTTTTTTTTTCAAGCAAATCTACACGATACACACACACCGACAACATATAATACGTATACATGTATGTATGTATGTAATATACACAAGGTTGGGTAAGTTAAATTTTTTTTTTATTTAAGTTAAGTTACAGTTAAAGGTCTTAAAAATTTTATTTAGTTAAGATATAAGTTATAATCCATAATGAAATTAATTGATTAAAAGTTAAGTTAATAAAAAAAAATAATTAACAAGTTAAAAGTTAAATTTTTTTTTCATGATTTTAGTGTTTTAGTCTTACAAATAATTACAAACATTTACAGTGTTTTAATCTTACATATAATGGAAAAAATTAATGTACACTTTATTTAGAAATATACTTTAT